TCAACAGCACCGTGGAAGCCTTATGGCGGAAGCGAGCGTTGATCAATTTGTGAGTCCTGACTGCCTGGGTGCGGCCCTTCGGGGAGTACTCGTGGTGGCTGTGGTTGGCAACTTCCTAGCCAAACTGGAACAGTCGAGTGCAGCTAGGCCTCACCACTGACCAGAGTGGGGTTTATTGTTCCATACACAATAAACAGTTCTAGACTCTGGTGTTGTTCAGGCCCCTACTCCGTGGGGATTGTCTAACTCGCCAGGGGGCGTAGTACGCTTAAAGTAGCTTGGGTCACCGTGGGGTTAAGCCTTTCAGGCAGGAACCCACGATAAACCCTTGCTACAAATTCTGTATATAAACAGAATATTTGCGGAAGGCAGTCAGTCGAATAAGAACATTTGAGTCGAAGAAGAATATTAAAGTTGAGAAGTCGAGAGTATTGCCAAAGTAAAATGTAAATAGTCCTGCCCTTAAACAAATTAATTGCAAATAAAAAGAGTCTTGCAGTGCAAACGCGTAAGTGTATTTTTCTTAAAAATCGCTAGATCCACAATCTATCCAGAAAAGAAGATCCACGACGTATCCAGAAAAGAATTTCGTAACAATATTTTCGGAAAATTTTTAGATTGGTGTTCCAGTTTCGGTGTTTTTGCCCTGGTACCTTACTCGAAGAAAAGAAAAGCTATTATCTTGCAAGAACTGCCACGCCTACATTTGTTTCCCAAAATATTTTAAAAAAAATTTGTTTATTATCCGCAAGTGTTACTTTTTCTCGCTTTTTGTCATAGCGTTTGCGGAGCTTGGATTAAAGATCCTATTGCAGAATACAGGTACCTGCGTATAACACACAGACATTTCGTTCCAAAAAGTAGCCGTTTTATACGAATTCGTGATACACGAAACAAAGAAATGCTACGAAAAGAGTGGTTAGGTTACAAAAATTGAACAAAATCCAATTGTACTTTAATTATTAACATAAATATATTTATTAAAATTTTCTCTATTAATACAAAATCCTGGCACGCAGGTCGATATTGAAAATGGGCCAAATAGATCAAATGACATTTAACTTGGTGACGAGTATGCAAGATACGGGCTTAGGCAAATATAATTTTTTTACTTATTACCTGTTGCCGAAGAGAACATGTTTTCGCTTCTGTATTTTCTGTGTTTACCGTTTTCCTTACAATTACATTTCTAGTTCTTTTGTTTAGACGCAGCGTCATTTCAGGAGCGCTAAGGTGCGTATGTGTACATTGCCCGCCGTTTATGCTCGAACATCTCGCAGAGTACGGTTATGGACAGATCAAAAACACAACACAAAAACTTGGCTTTGCATTTGTTGTAACGTCCCTAACCACATGCGGTTTTTATTCCTCCTTTTACCATTCTCTCCTTTTTATTTATGTCAAATGTCTTCAATGTTTAGATATCTTATTTCTTTGATTACCATTGCTACACCTTTATTGCGGAAAGACATGGATGTATGATTTTTGCTTGCGTTTGCCTTTAATTTGTTGGGGCAACAACATTCTCTTCTGATTGACAAGATATCTTGTTGTTTCATCACAATTATGCTTCACATTATTTATTTAAATACGGTTTAATATTATGACAGCATTCAATGTGTAAGTATGTCGCTAACGATAAATGCACACGTATGGAATGTTTTATTTATACACATCCTTTTTATGTTTCTCACCTATTATCCTCAAATTCATTCTTTTGTCTTTTATTATAGCTATCAATGAAAACACATTTACTCCATCAAAATGTTTCCAAAGGCAGGAGACGAAAGTTACAGAGTCTCTATGCAGGTTATATATTATTGATTAGTTTTAAATTCTGAATCGTTTCAAAGATGTCTGTCCGTCAGTCAAAGTAATTGTCTGTGGTAAACAGAAATTAAAATATAGATAGATTGTTATTGAAAGTAAGCTAAATCGGCCAAGAGACACGCCTACAGGACAACATGGGCCAAAATTTACTCTTGCGTTTTGAATTTTTTGACAATTACTTGTAATATGCAAAGGATAAAACGTTACAAATTTGTGCATATATGTAAGTGTACTATGAAAGCAGTAGGAGAAATCGCACCACCCATCCACCCGGTATTGTAGAGCATCAAAAATTCATTTTTAGCATTTTTTATTTTATTTCCTCTTGTAAGATGTAAGTGGTGAAGATTCGGTTATAACCAAATGTAATTTTCTTACTTATTTTCACATTTATTTAGCTCAGAATTGAAAAGATGAGTCGTTCATAAATGTTTTGTGTACATACGTGTCTTTTTCGAAAAAAACCCATATATATGCATGAATATATTACTTATTTAAGCGTGCAAGCACATTGTTATTATGCGCACGAGACAATCATTTTTCATATTTACGAAGAGCAGGAAATGTTTATTTTCTTGTTTTTTAACCTCAACGCCGTGCTCACACCATAGTCGCGGCAGGTGTATTCGTCATTTATAATTAAAAAAACAAAAAACAAGAGAAAGGTTAAATCAACTAGAAATTCATCTGTGATTTTACTTTTAATTTATTCGAACCCTCATATGTCACATATTTTATGACTTATTTACTTTTACGCTCATAACTTGTGATTACGAATGCGTGTATGTGTATATGCAATAAAGTTACATTATAAGGAATTTACCCCATTTGCCATTCGGTATAACATAGCTTTTAAAAAATAACCATGTTCCGTTTAATATGAATTTAAATCAAGTGAGGAAAGTATATTTTGCTTTAAATGATAGAAAATTGACTTTGCATAGCTAATCTAGAGCCTTTTAAAAGTTGCCCCCGTTAAGCTTAATGGTCTCCTAACTTTCGGTCAGTATAAAGAATTCGAAGAGTATTGCTTTAAATCAGACGGTTCAGCAGAGAGTGGGAGAAAAGCAAGGACTTGTAATCCAACCAAACAGACAAATTGAAATGAAAGACAGATTTGCAAAAAATGGTTATGACCGATTATGGCGAAAAGGAAGCAAGTCAAAGAAAAGACCAAGCAATCAACAAAATATTGCTTATTGCTTAACCCTTATGATAAGAATTTGAAAAAGAAGTTCACCGACAATTTCGATTTTAGAGCCAAGGGCAACTATTATTATATAATAATTGAATTAATTGAATACTCGGAAAAGCAAGTAGAGAAGAATCTTATGTTCGACCAAAAGAAAGACTTCCACACAACATCCTCAGACCATACCCGTAAACTTTTAAAAGACAAGAACACTTTATGTTCACATTTGCTTATATCAATGATAATGAAAATTTAATGAAAAATTTTATTATATTTAATTACTTTTACCTGTGTTTATGTCAGCCATAAGTAAAGATTAAAAAAAAAAAAAAAAATTTTTTTTAAGAATTTTTTTAAATAAAATTTTTATTACAGAATGCTTATAAATAACATCTTCCTTTACGTATATTATATCAAGAGATATTAACTAAACTAATAGTTATAAAATTATTTTTTCTTTTTTTTTTCTTTCACTTGAGATATACTTACATGTAATTGTTTTTTTTTTTTTTTTTTTTTTTCTTGCATTCAGATTAAACGAATATGAAAGTATCTTTGTTGTTTGTATTTTATGCATATATCTTATTCTATGTTACGATTGTGCAAAAAAAATCTTCTCTTGTTTTATTATTGCATTAATTTTATTTTTCATATTTACTAATATTATTATTGTACTACGAATTAGTAAAAGATAACGAGAGTGAGAGAATATAGAGAAGGGGAACCGTTGCTTATATTATGGTATATTTTAAATTATGGAGGGAAAATCTTTTCAAAAAAATACTAATGAAATGATTGTTATCATCATTTTCTTATATGAAATGAATTTAAAACAAATGAAAAAGTTTCAAGTAATTGTTTCGAATTTAAAGATTCGTATTGATAACTAATTGTATATGTATACATATGTAAAAATATTGTGTAATAAAATGTATACAAACTAATTTAGTTATTGATTTTCGTTTCTTAAGTTTAGGTGGAATGCGTAATTCATTCACATATATGTGGATAGATGCATGTATGTATTTTATTATTAAAAACAAATAGAAAGTCTTAATACTTTTATCCATTCTTTACCTTTATTATCGGATGTGTGTAATGAGGACGACGTTATATAACATTATTTATTCGATTCTGTAGTTTTCTGCAGCAATTTAAATAAAAATAAAAGAAGAACAAATAAGAAATATTTTGCTTTTCGGGTAAATATTGGATACCCACCACCGATCGTTTAATTTTAACCAGCCACACACATAATAACACACACATAACACAACAAATATAAAGACATGTGTGTGTGCTTCCTTTACACTCTTAAACTCAAGTTATTGCCTGCATTTGCAAAGAATATGTGTATCTAACGCATAGCTAATACGTAGCGTATGAGTAACATTTTGCTCATGAATAACTAAACTCAAACAAAAACAAAACAAGAGTGAATTTTTCAAATTTGCTTAACTTTTTTGCTCTTTCTCTTTTTTTTTTTTTTTTTTTTTTTTTTTGCATTGGATCTTTGTATGTCATTTGGTTTATCTTTGTCCGAAAAATTACGTGTAAGTCTACTTAAAAGACTTAAAGCGTGAAAAAGAGAAAACTCATATATAGCATATAAATGAATCTAATTCTTAGACACTCTGGAAAAATCCAAAAGTTATGTTCAGATCATCGCAAAACGCGTATATTCTTCCCGTGGTTCGGTGATGGGTATAGACAAAGACTTATAAGTACATTTTTTTTTATATATTTTGTCTAAAGAAAGGCACATAAAGTGTGTACTCTCTACAAAGTGGTAGCATTAAACCATATGTTGGTTGAATGTACAGTCTCAAACACATATCGGTACATATGTATATATATGTATGTATATATAAT